CACATGTGGTGACAGGTGTGAGTCTATGGTCATAGTACATGTGCCTACAAATGACAGGTGTGAGTCTATGGTCATAGTACATGTGTTTACAGGTGACAGGTGTGAGTCCATGGTCATAGTACATGTGGTGACAGGTGTAAGTCTATGGTCATAGTACATGTGACAGGTGTGAGTCTATGGTCATAGTACATGTGCCTACAGGTGTAAGGTGTGAGTCTATGGTAATAGTACATGTGTTTACAGGTGACAGGTGTGAGTCTATGGTCATAGTACATGTGCCTACAGGTGTAAGGTGTGAGTCCATGGTCATAGTACATGTGGTGACAGGTGTGAGTCTATGGTCATAGTACATGTGTTTACAGGTGACAGGTGTGAGTCTATGGTCATAGTACATGTGGTGACAGGTGTAAGTCTATGGTCATAGTACATGTGACAGGTGTAAGGTGTAAGTCTATGGTCATAGTACATGTGCCTACAAATGACAGGTGTGAGTCTATGGTCATAGTACATGTGCCTACAAATGACAGGTGTGAGTCTATGGTCATAGTACATGTGCCTATAGGTGACAGGTGTGAGTCTATGGTCATAGTACATGTGGTGACAGGTGTGAGTCTATGGTCATAGTATATGTGCCTACAAATGGCAGGTGTGAGTCCATGGTAATAGTACATGTACCTACAAATGACAGGTGAGTCTATTGTCATAGTACATGTGTTTACAGGTGAGAGGTGTGAGTCTATGGTCATAGTACATGTGGTGACAGGTGACAGGTGTGAGTCTATGGTCATAGTACATGTGCCTACAGGTGACAGGTGTGAGTCTATGGTCATAGTACATGTGTTTACAGGTGACAGGTGTGAGTCTATGGTCATAGTACATGTGGTGACAGGTGTAAGTCTATGGTCATAGTACATGTGTTTACAGGTGACAGGTGTGAGTCTATGGTCATAGTACATGTGCCTACAGGTGTAAGGTGTGAGTCCATGGTCATAGTACATGTGGTGACAGGTGTAAGTCTATGGTCATAGTACATGTGACAGGTGTGAGTCTATGGTCATAGTACATGTGCCTACAGGTGACAGGTGTGAGTCTATGGTCATAGTACATGTGTTTACAGGTGACAGGTGTGAGTCTATGGTCATAGTACATGTGGTGACAGGTGTAAGTCTATGGTCATAGTACATGTGACAGGTGTAAGGTGTAAGTCTATGGTCATAGTACATGTGCCTACAAATGACAGGTGTGAGTCTATGGTCATAGTACATGTGCCTACAAATGACAGGTGTGAGTCTATGGTCATAGTACATGTGCCTATAGGTGACAGGTGTGAGTCTATGGTCATAGTATATGTGCCTACAAATGGCAGGTGTGAGTCCATGGTAATAGTACATGTACCTACAAATGACAGGCGAGTCTATTGTCATAGTACATGTGTTTACAGGTGAGAGGTGTGAGTCTATGGTCATAGTACATGTGGTGACAGGTGACAGGTGTGAGTCTATGGTCATAGTACATGTGCCTACAGGTGACAGGTGTGAGTCAATGGTCATAGTACATGTGTTTACAGGTGACAGGTGTGAGTCTAAGGTAATAGTACATGTGCTTGTCATATTTTATGATCCAATACACAATACATGTAAATGTTTTTTTACATGTGCTTCTATCAAGGAAGCGCTTCTACTTAACATTGCACATTTACCCATCAAGTATCTGGATGTGTTATTTAGACGACTATCAATACATCACCTGTTGAAAGTCTCCAAAGATTGGCAAGATGAATGGTATATAACTGCATCACTATGTTTCATTAAAAATAACATAAAATTAAGAAGAAGTAGTCTAATTAGGAAAAGATATGATGTACAACCTGTCGGATTCCTTGCATCAAGACTTTTACAAAATTCCCAGAACTCATAAAAATCTTCTGGCATTTCCACCAAGAATTTCATTTTAATTTCTTCTCTGACATCTGATGGTGCGGGAGGTAATGCTTCATCTTTACTCTCAGACTCTATATCATATAAAAACAGAAAATATAAAAGATCTGGTACAAGTCATTGCCAATGACAAATTCCTTCAAATAATTTGGTTTAATTAATATTTAAAAACACAATATTATGTCTTGTATTTGTAACAAATGTAAACAAAATCTGTCAACTGAGCATGTCAAAGAAAATCAAATTTTGTGTAAGAATGCATACAAATAAAAGATGTCCACCAATTAGTCATTTTGAATCAAATCACAAAACAAAATCGTGCCAGACATAACATAATTTTTGAGCTTTTATTAATTTTTTGATGAAAATTGCCACCAGTCACCTAATTTCACCTAATCCTGGAAGAACATGCAATAATATGTTTTGCTTTGTATAAAGTAAAACAATAAAACATTTGTCGGTCATTTTTTATCAAATCAAGAAACAAAATGTCTTGACCAATATAAATGTATAAATCAAACCTACTTCCTTGAATGAGCCATCTGAACAAAATCGCAAATAAAAAAAAAACCTATGCAACAGAAACAGGAAGTGAGTGCCCTCTATTGACCGCCTTTTTTTTGCCATAAAAGTTAGAGGGTCAGTTACAAAATATAGACAAAATTGAGTTATTGGAAACACTATTTAATAAATTTACTCAGCTTTACCTTTTCTTTCTTCTTCATCTTTTTCTATCTTCTTCACATCGTCTTCTTCGTCACCCGGTGAAGTTATCTTAGTAGAAGAGTCTGAAGAAGATTTCTTCTGTTTTGTCGGTGATTCAATCTTCCTCTTTTTGGCAGGATTCTCTTTCACAGCCTAGGAATAAATTAAAAACAAACTTTAAAAATTAGATATATAAACAATGAAATATTTACAATAACCTTGTTGACATATTTTAACTTTCTGAAAAAGACTGCAATGACTCCCATTGTATGCCTTGCACACAGAAATCAAATAGACATCTTGTCATATGCAAATTACTGCACTCGCTATAGACAAGAATATGTTGAAAAAAACAAAAAACAAAAATTGATGACCAAACAGACCACAATAATTCAACTAATGGATTTCCTCCAAAACATTTTTAGGTCTATAATTATTTCTATGCAGCTATGTACCCAGTTGTATTGAATTAGATTAGTTGCTCTTGAGATATCAGTAGTTAACGACAATATACATGTATACATGCATCTAAAAAAATGCACCTCAAAACTATGTGAATGGGAAAAAAAAATGTGCACAGTGGTTCTACCCTTGAGAGTTTTTAATGGTTTACCCCTTACTAAAACAAGTGACTTCATGGTTTGAAAAGCTCCACTGTCTTTGTAGATTGTCTTCCTCAAAACAAAGTTGATAATGTTCTACATGTATATAGTGATATACAAGTGATTTGCCAATATAGTTGTTACCATAATGGTCTAAATTACATCCATGGTAGTATATATGGTTGTTATATTGTTTAGATTGCCACACAAAAAACTTAATCTTAATTAGGTCTACCCAAGGTAACAGCTTACCAAGTACCAAAGCAATTGAGCAGGTAGTTTTCACTGTTACCAAGTACCATTTCAATTGAACAAGTAGTTTTCAACAAAGAAGTCGAAAATAACATTTTTTACCCAAAATGACAAAAATATTCTCTAAGAATAAAGAATTGAAGATATCATCACAAAATGAACAAACATGACATACACAGCTTCTGATTTAAAACGTAATTCTAGCATTATCATATGAAATGTTATTATGATATAGGTAATTACGTAATTATACTGTTATTTATTGTTATAGTGAAAATACGTTTTTTGAAAACGTCATTATGACGTTTACAACTATAATTATGCAACGTATTTTTGAGACGTCATAAAAGCCATCTGAAAAATCATGACATCGAAACATTTTCTAATTACATCATTATAACGTAATTTTCTACAATGTATTTATTATGTTATTAAATATCAGTATTGGACTATCATTAAATAATTTCCCATCAATGTTTTTATATAACGTATTTATATTGTTTTTATTTCAAACGTTATAACGTAATAAAATGCTCAATATGAACTATTTTAAAACAGTGATAATGCAATTGTATATACTGCTATTATACTGGTCCAAAATAGAAACGTTATTACAGCATAATTTTATTACGTTCAAATCATAATTTTCACAAAACTGTTATATTAGTGTTTTGTAACGACTTGCCATTTTCAAAATTAAAGTATATTGAAATCATGTTTTATTTCATAATTCTAAAATTCTAAAATGTTATTATAACGTATTTTATTAGCAGCTACATTTTGTATTCACTGTGTTGTGTAGACACATAATTTTTAAGAAAATCAAGTTAAGTCAATCATACTACATGTTTATTATATTTTAAAGATCTAATTGTTAAATAATATTATCATTTTTCTGATGAAAACGTTATTATAGCGTAATTTAATTACGGATAAATACTAGCGCTGTTTTTATCTTCGCACCCCTATCCAAAAAATGGTATGGACCATAAGCTCAGTACTGAGCGCATGCTCAATCCGCTGGCTTTCCCGCAACGATAAAGCTTGTGGATATAACTGTTGCCAGCATTATCTTCATTCTTCGCATGGTAAGTGGTCAAATAGTTATATATTCTATACAAGTTGTTCTCTAATATTAATATATATGATTCAGACAAAGATTTTACTTAGAAAACTATGACTATTCAAGCTTATCAATCAGAAAGATGGTGGCTACGCGAGGCAGAGACCAGCCATTTTGAACTTGCTGGCAAATTTGAATTTTGTTTTCCCCTGTGTTGGTGGTTCGAGGACAAATTGTATTTAAATGAACTTACTTTCGTAACATTTCTTGCTTTGTTTGTGTTTCAGAATAATGTTTTTGGAAAAGGAAATTAAATGATAATATGTCCGAGTGCTGTTGCCGGAAAATCAAGATTTTTTTTTAAATTACACAAGTATACAACTCGTATTTTCATATTCGGTTCCAATTATATTACAATGTAATTTTGTGTGTAAATGGAGATATTGTATTGTTAAATAAAGTATGTATATTACTATATCAGTTTATTTTTAATAACGGTATACAACGTATTTTATGCATCACTGAAAAACATAATTATGGCATTATGACAATTTACGTAAATAAATCACATAAAAAGAACTGTATTTTTCTGTTATAAAATACCATTATGATAATGTTTTTAAAATGACACTAAATTTATGACATTTAAAACTGCAATACGAGCATTTTTTGGCAAACGTCACTATGACGTACCCAGGGAAGATGCATATGTGGCATTTAAAAATAACAGTATTATAACTTTATAAAATTATGTTATAATTACATTTTAAGAAAACGTTATTAGTATGATATTGCAAAGCATAATTATGCATTTTTTTGCAAACGTCATTATAACATAATTATTTACATTGTAAATGCATTATTTATTAATGTTATAAAGTTGGACTCATTTTTTGGGTTATCATAACGTTTTTTAAAAACGTAATTTTGATCTATCTTATAACGCTATAATTACGTTTTCGATCAGCAGCTGTGTAGGTCTACCCAAGGTACCTACATACAAAGAATTAAAGCAATTAAGCCAGAAGTTGAAAATACAATTTTTTACTGAAAATTACCAAACAATTCGCTATAGTAGAAAATAGAGTAATTTGTTTCAAAATTAACAAAACTGATAGAGGTCTGCAACCAAATGCATTTCCACTATTTTCTCTCAGAATATGCTGACAATAAAGCAATTTTCAATTATCTATTCTACTCTATCTCAGACAACTTATATTCTATTCTATTAGATTATTCTAAATTAGTCATATTTTATTTTGTTTGACCCCCAAAAATGTACATGTAATTGTTAATTAATATACAGAGATCAGATGTGCATGTACCAACATTTAATCAAGACTAGTCTAACTGATGGCGAAACTGGTGAACATATATGGTATACTTTCACAAAATGATGCATTCAACAACAAAAACAATGGGAAGATAATAACACTAATTATATAAATTCATAAACTTTAGAAATTACAAAAGAAGAATGACCACTTTCAACTTTTAGTTTATTCTATTCTAATTTAGAGGGACTGACCCCCGGGACTGACCATTATACGTCCATGGACTGACAAATGACATCGTCTGGTAAAGTTAATCATAAACTAACAAACCGTTCGAGCATCCCCTTTCCGCTTCGTGTGCCTAAACTGAGAAAGATGTTGTTTATTCTTTCTGTAGCAAGATTCACCATACTTGCACATAGGTTTAGTTTCGTCTTTACTTGAACTGTCAGTCCCCATGTCCGCCATGATGTATTTTGACGCTGGTTGTACTTTGCGCCGTTTTGTAACCCGGAAGTTTGTATGTGACCTTTACGTCAAGTTGATTAGCAAACAGGGGGTTTAGGGTTTGGATGCTCCGTAGATTTTGTTTTTACACTTTTACATTTTATATAATGTTATTATCCGATCCCTATCTTATAAAAAAATATAAATTGTAACTGCAATCTCGTTGTTTTCTAAAATACAAATAACTCATCAGTCCCTGCCCCCTAACAGAAATAGTTGCTCCCACCAATTTTCCCACAATTCCATTTCCAAAATGGAAGTCATGTAATCGCGAATGTATGATTGACTCTCTTACGAACTCAGACATAGACAGGCGAAACCTAAATAATATATGTGATCGGGATTTTGTTATAAGGAAACCACCAATACACGCGAGGATGAGTAGAGATCTATTGTGAGTATTTTATTCAAATTAGGTAACTTTACGGTGTTTCTTAAATGGCAAGAAAATAAATAATTTCAGAGATTCCGGAAGCGATCGAGCTGTGAATTCGTGCACGGTATTAGAATAAGTTATATTGCATGGCATCAGTCGTATCTTGTTTGTGGCTAGTTGAGGCAGTGTGACGCAAGGTCATCATGATGACCATTATTTCTTTTTGGTAGTACGACAAAGACTCGAGCCACGCAATCACCTGTACAATCAACCTAAAATTAAAGCCAATGAAACACTGTGTTAGCTTTAAAACTGAATTATATTTTAGTTGAAAGTGTCAATAATTCTCTTTGTGAAAATATACTTTTGTTTAAATTCGCTACATCTGAATAAGCTAAAACAGAATGCTTGGTAAAGAGACATGTTTAAAAGTACTGTTACATACATACTTATGTAAGGACATTTATTTCACATGTAGTGCATTTCTTCCAACACCTGTTGGTAAATCTCTGCCGGATTACTAGTGGGTAAATAAATTACACGTATTATTATAGAAAGAAAGAAAATCAAGTGGTGGTCGTTAAAGTTGTAATATACATGATATATGTATAAGAAATCTGCTTGTTGAATACAGTAAAATATATTATTTATAACATGAAGAATTTCCCACATCATACTGCTAACCTGTAACCAGCTGACCAATGTTGAACTACCTGACATGTGATTAATTAGCAGATTTTGATTATAGGTAACCTTTGTGTGAAAATTAAAACTGGTACATGTAGACAAACAAACCTCCAACTGTATGTTGCTTTTGTGATCTACCTTATCCTGTATGTGATTAAGAGTAAATAGAAAATGATTTCAACTTTATTATAACGTCTCACAATTGTATCACTTACAGTATAATCAACAACATCTATATGAATAGGCTTTAAAATTCATCCCTGACATTAAGAATCAAAAGCCAAAATTACTGAATGCTACTTTTTTGGAAGGCAGAAACATATAGTGTATACTGTGCATTTCATGAAGGTGTGAATTTGTATAATGGACATTCGTAACATTATTATAAAACATTTTTTTCTCGAAAATGGTGCTTCTGCAGAAGACACCAATGCTGTTTTTTTTCTCGGATATTGGCTGATTTACGGCCTAAATGCATGGTAATTGGTCTCGTGGTGTTCAACCATCTTTTGAATATAAAACATTTATAAATATTTATATAAAACAAATTCATACTTTTATGAAATACAGTTTCAAGTTATTTGTTCTTTTGTTTGTTTGCATTGTTACCTGTATTTTCATTTTTGGCTTTACTGACCTTACTGCTGATTTCTTCATAGGCTGCCCTGTGTCCAATAAATAATACAAGGGTTTATACGATAATGGTATTCAGTTTTCATAACCAAGTACAATGTATGTTGATAGGCAATAATTCTCAGTAAAATGAACACTTGCACTTTGTGAGCATTTGAAAGCGATCTCATTCCATGCACGTCAATCAGAAGCAGTTCTAACGGAATAGCATTATTGTACATACAGCCGGTGCTTGAAATGTTTGATTGTAAACAGAAATAAGTGAAATTATCGCTGCATTATAAAATGTGAAACGCTTGTTTTAAATGCTCTGCAAATAATAAGGAAACTACCAAAAATGGTCTGATATGAACACAAACAAGTTCTTTTACAGGCTTACTCATTTGCATCAGGAAATTGCAATTTTGTGATCATATCACAATTCATATGACTTCTTTATTTTACATGGTGTTCATACCTCCATATTATAAATGCTATACATACACTTCATTATAATACATAGATGATGGCATCATTCCTGCAGACACCTCTGCTGCATAATGTAGAATGTACTGAAACCCAGAGTAGACATAGTCTTGTTGCTGTATATATTATCTGTTTGTTATTTTTTATTTCTTTACAGTAGTTTATATAAAGCTATCCCGTGATACATATTTATACAACTGTAGTTTAACTGAATGCAATGTATTTCACAATCTTAATCTCTGCTCCACACTTCTATTCTGTGAGATACAGTACGCAGTGAAGTTTTACTGCTGCTCACAAACTGATCCAGTTATACATGTACATGTAATTCAATGCAAGTTGAAAGCATGGAGCGGATGTCTGAATTGAAAAAAAAAAAAATGTTTTAATTAAAACAACTCTCGGATGATATTATAACAAAACACACTAATTGTGAGAAACTGAAAGTGCCAAATGGATGTCATCAACTAACAGTAATTTAAAGGGAAATAGTTTCATAATTTTACCTGCCAACCATTTGGTGCAACGTTTTACAAATTTATTAGTTTTTTTTTTTTTTAATTTCTTTGTTTCTTTTCCGAAATATTGTTCAGTTTTTTCATGTGACTCCGGAGGACTTAAACTAATATTTAGAATAATGAACCTTAGTTGTGTTTATTTTGCTCGATTTTCAATTCAAAGTTGGTGACTGAGTATGCAGGGGGGTGAATCACTTGTTTCCATAGAAACTTGTTTGGGTTCTTTTTATTCGGTCTTTGCTACAGTTGTATTTATATAAGTAGTAATGCTTTTTCATTGTTTTGACGATGAAGGGTAAATGTACTTGTAAATAACTTTTTGATTATTGCTAATGTCCTCTTCTCTCTGTATTTATCTTACCTTTTTCACACTCTGCAGCCGGATGAGTAATTGAAAACGCTGAATATAATGGAACAAATTGAGTAAGTGCATGGCTCTGCAATCTAACTGCATCCTCTATGGCTAGTTATAATCTATGTTTAGTGTCAGTATGATTATGTAAACCTTTCTGTCAACTAACAGATGACTGAGTGTGTTCTTCCCAGCATTTCGACATTACGAGTCATTTGCATATTTTAATTTATACATGGGCTTGCTAATTAATTTTTTTGTCTTTCAAAATATAGTGTCTGTGATCTGAGGAGAACACTTGATCATTAACTGAGTAAATGTATTCACTAAATTATTTTATGCAGTCATCTCGTGAATTCAGACACATTTTTGCATGGAGACCATCAGAGAATTTCATTTGTAATCAGCTTTGATCACCAAATTTTCTCACACTCAAATTCAGGTAAATTTGTTCATATTTACTGTAATTTTCAATCTTAATTATGGACCAAACCTTCAAAATGTGACATTGTGTGTAGTTTCGATAAAAAAATTTGAAATTTTTGCAAAATGTAGAAAAAAGCTGGAATTAATTTGTTGATGGTGCCTGAAGATGACTGTGGTGTTCCAAGGGTTAAAGAATATCAATGTGGTTTTAGTTTCTACATTTATGTTGTATTTATGACATTCTGTTACTGAGTATAGTACAGTCTGAGCGTAACTTAACACCTAGCTACCTTTAAGCTATCTTAGCCTGCTTTCGAAACTGAAATTGCACAGAGTAATCTGTCTAAAAATGTCTCTTCTTTGTAACATGGCCAGCTGATGGCCAACTTGGAAGTTAAGTTACCCCAGACTGTACTGTACATGTACCGGATTCGGCTGATACCCCGCCCATTCTAAACCCCGCCCATGGGCGATGTTTCAAATAGTGGGCGATGTTTTGGTCCACACATTGCCTGACTGAACCAACAAACATTTTTACAGACCAATTTTCCCGTCCGACATCTTGCATCGAGCGCACTATTTCAAATATGACGCTAAAAATAATTCACCGTGAAGTCGAAACGCGTAAAAATACAATAAATCCAATGCTGTAGCTAATTGTTGCGTGAAAAAATGGTATATGCTTGTATTTTATGCAAGTATTTATCACCATTTTCAAGAGTAAGAGTAGTAACTTTACATTTCACTTACATTTATTACACTTTTGAAAAGAATGCTATTTACGAAGTTTAAAATAGCCAAGCCATCTTGATTCAAGCCTCTTGGTTGATTTGACAATGGTAGGTATCATTCATGTTTAATCTTTGTCTGTATCGCATTCCAGACAAAAAGTTCAAGATCGGTAAACAAGAAATGGACGAACTAAAATGTCTTCTGTGTTTCACATGCGTCATGATTATTAAAAAAAAACACAGAGTTAAGCGGTCCTGTTCATGGTATTTGTGATAGTTAAAAGATTTTTTGAACAAATAATAAGTAACTATATTGATTTGCGTCAAGCTGAGTGGCCCGAATTTAAATATCAGTGCGTGAACTCTGGAGGTCATTACCCAACGTCGCACGTAATTCAAACACGTGGTTAGTAGAGTTCAGTCGAAATGTATGTGAATAATGCGATTGAAGTGCGCTGCCCAGAGTTTATTATATTATAGTAAAATTTAATATGACGCATGGTATGGTTTATATTACATATTCACTTCATTTCGAATAAAATAATTAAAATAAGTATCTAAAATATTTTCTCGACTTTCCGTAGACATCTGACTATCCTGTTTAATGATTTAAATGCGCCCATGTTTATGTTTGCGTAATTATTACAAATGCAACACATTATCAAGTCGGTAATATTGAAATGTTCACAGACCTAATACCCCGGGTCAGTGCCCTAACAATGGTAAAAAATAACTTGAATTTGCGTAATTATCATGAAAGCAATACATTACACAGTTGAAATATTTAGAGCTCGTGTAATATTGTAAGCAAATTTGTGAATTAGAAAAGCAGTGAACTAAGTAAACGACGTTGATATATTCAAAGCCAGTACAGAGTTGCATACAAGTTGCGTAATTACAGTACCGTCGGATATAATAACAATTTTACTGGATCGCCGCGCGGACCGCAAAAGAAAAAGGTTGCTAAGGTAACGCGCCAGTTCAGTACGTGACTTGTGGTCAAACTTCGGTCAACACACACTTGATGTCAGCATCGCCGCGTAGCAAGTTTCGCAAAGAAGTACTTGAAGTTCAATTGCGTCCCAAAACGATGTCGCTAATCACTCACTTGTCGCAACGTGTGTTGTGTCATGTCCATGATGCACCCCGTTTCGACTTTGGCTTGCTTTTCCTTCTTAGTGCATGGTCTTGTTCATGTAAAATGCGACCTCTCACCAATGTATTAAAACACTTTGAATTTATATTTTGCATGATCACATTTGGTCAATGCAAAACATTATTTTTCTATACATTTTCTGAGACCATTTTTACCAGCGCAGGGTTATTTTTTCAGACAAGATGGGCTTCGTAATATCTGCCATAACATAGCCCGAGCGATCTGTTGATCCACAATATTCTTTAAAAAAATCAAATCTTCCATAAGATCCCCCAGGGCGGGGTATCAGCTGAATCCGGTATATGTATATTGTGTGTTGTATTTGCACTGTTAAAATCTACATCTACATGTATTACATAAACAATAAAGTCCAATCATTACAAATTATTTTGGCTCATACATTTACATGTTGTACATGTATGAGTAAAACACTCTACTATTGGAAATGTGCTTGTAAGTCAAATACGATGTATATTTTGTGTTGAAATTTGTAATTGTAATGTGGCCTGTAATGATTAGCGTCATATGTAACATGAGTAAAATTCATTGTTTTGTTTACATGAAATCCGAATATGCGCTGCACAACGACCACCAACCTTTGGTGTGTACGGTCAAAATACTGATTTGTTTTGTGTATGTGTTATTGTTTATTATTATTTGGTTTACAAAGCATTTCAAACTGTTGTGATTTTTTTATTTTTTATGATACTTCTACCCCAGATTACCTTTGAGGTGTATTCATATTGGAAGAAGTTTTCATTGACTAGAACAATCTTTTAATAACACTAATTGTACATGGATGTATGTGTCTTACACAAACCATAGATTCCATCAAATGTATTCAAAATTGTTCACAGACACAGTCCTATATCTTTTGATCACTGCATATACTACTGTAGAATACTTTATTTTCGCTTGGAATTAATTTTTGCTATTTTTAGCTGAAGGAATGATTCAGTGAAAATAAATTCCTTACAAAACACACAAAAAGTCTTTTCAGAGAAAATTTATTCCAGCTTAAAAAAAAGTATTTTACAGTATCATCATTACATTTTGGCTCAAAACATTTAAACTGTTAACAGAGAAATGTTTTTGACAATTCAGAGGCCATGCACACTGAACATTGTAGTGATACAAGTTTCTGCTACTTACCGCGAAAGCCAATCATCGCGAAGCTACTAGTATAGTGATACAACATATTTATCTATGGCATTGTTAAGTCGTTTCAACTTTATTTTGAGATTTATTTCATGGTTTTCTGAAATGCTTTGTAAGTTTTATTTAATGTTTGTTTGCATATTCCTATATTTTGTCCATACTGTTACATTATACAGCATCAGTGTTGAGAAAACCTACATGTACTCTTTCAAGGCTGATATTTTCTAATACCATAAGTGCTAACAAGTACAAATATGAAAGGTCTTTAAAGTCTATGGAATACTGTAAAACACTTTATTTTCCCTTGGAATTTATTTTCGCTGAAGAGATAATTCAGTGAAAATAAAATCCAGCGAATATACATTTTTTTCTTTATTTTACATTTAATTCACCAAGAATCAGTAAAAATAAACTCTATACAAATCATCTAAAAAGTCTTTTAAACACATTAATTATTCATTTGTGTTCATTTTGAATTAAATCCATGATGTGAACATTTAAAATAAAAATAGAACTTCTTGTCTAGCCAACATCATTACAAGGTCATTTGCATGAATGTGTTAAGAAGAGTATTTTCAATAGTCAGAATTATGAAAAAAAACCTAATAGTGAATTTGACCATTAAGTAGTCTCTTAAGCAAACATGGTGTGACATTAACTTTCACAGAATGTCTAATTCACAAGATCAATTCTGTTGCTAACTTTCTGTGTTTTTAAATGATGTCAAATTTTTTAGCATAAAACATAGTTTGTAATTGGTAATGAAGTGTATTTTATTTAATTTTATACTAATTTGTACTATAGTACTCTGTGTCTGTATTTAATAATCCTTCAGTTAATTATTCATATGTGGTTAAGACATGTACATGTTTAAGTATATGTTTGTTGAGAAACCCACTAACAAAACAACAAATGTTACATTATACGTGAATCTACCCCGTGTACATTTTACATGTACATGTACACATCGCATTGACATATAGACTGTACAGGATGTTGCCATGTGACTGATATCGACATGACCCAGTCGGATGACCACCACCACTTGAAAATCTACTACTAGTATTATAGATCTATTAATAACATCAGTGGAAATTATCTCAATATTTTGTTATTTTTTCATATAAAATAATTACAATATTACTTCTATTGGTAAATTTAAAATTATGATATAAAACATAAGATTATCTGTTGGTAGTAATTAATTATGTCTTAATACACCAACATGTGTGACAGATTTAATTTGAAATTGATTGAATTGTTTATCACACTTTCTATATAGCAAGTACCTGTTCCTCTCCCAGATACTTTCTGGCACTTCTGTGAATTATATTTTGTTACAAGTGTATTCATGTAATTACTCTTTCCTCATCTAGATAAATAGTGTTATGGCAATGCTTTAATAAAAATAAAATGATGGTATTAGTATTTCACTTTAACAAGCTGACACACTCTATATCCTATATTTTATTAGTGAATTATTTTACATGCAGTGGATACTAACAAACAGGGATGTATGTTTTGGACTGGCAGCATCTGCTTTTCTGACATTATTTCTATCGCTGAATGTGGTACAAAAATGAGACCTAAATGTATGCATTCATAGTTTTGACAACATGTTGTATTTGCTACAAATTGGACATTGATCGATTGTCAAAATAACATGTACCTAAATTGCCTCTTAATACATTTTGACTTTCAAAGTTTTTTTTCTGCATTTATATATTAACTTAATTAATTAAATTATCTGTCCATTGGTAAATACATCACCAAACAATACCAGTTTTGTTCATTCCTTACCCTTTTATCAAATCTGTTTGGTTTCTTAATTACTTATTCTCATGGATACTGAAGTGACATTTATTTCAAAATGTTTTATTTATTATCCATCAAATGCAGTGCTTGCCTTAACTTTTACTTCTTGGTTGTTGTCATGGGAACAATCAATTCCCTTTAAAAGTTAGAAAGTGACTGCCATCCATTAGTGTTCGTATCTAATTGGCATTATATGCGTGACACAGGGTTAAGGTCACACATCTTGGCATATCTGGATTCTTTTTGTTCAATAACACCTTTAATTTGTTCATTGTTTATGCCAATTTCCTTCCTTTTCTCACTGACTTTAAACTTGAATAACAACTACCATATTTGTTCTATCGATAGCACACCCATTTACATAAATTACAGAGGTGTTTCCATGGTCTAAATAAATTGGTTTTTTTTCCTTTGGAGATACGCTTCTAATAGAGCAAATACGATACTTGCCATTTGGGAATAAAATAATGAAAGAAATCATTTAGTTTGTAAGTCTGTTTTCCCAGAAAGTACCATCTTGAAAATGTTTAGAGCTTAATGTTAATTTTTAAACTCTCTTGTCCCAAATGTATGTTATCTATATGTTTCCTACAGTCTGTTAATTGAGTTACCGGTACTATTCAGTTGTCAGAATGGCTATTTTACTTTACCCAAGCTATAACGTCTAGCCCTGAGGAGTCATGTGTAAAGTCTATTCATTTTACTTTCATGCATACAGGTGACTGAATTTCAAAAGGCTAAATTCAAATTTGAGTCCTTACCATTTGTTTTGTTGTAACTTTCAGGTTGAATCATTGTACATCGCCTGCCATGGCGAATAATACATCAGTAGATGAGCTAGACTCGCCTATAGATAGGTATGAAAGGATTGGACATATCCAAGAGGAGGAGGACGATGACCTCATCGATATTACAGATGATGACAACAGTAAATCTGAAATTAATTTTAGAGATTCTACACAAGGTAAGAAATTTATTTTTAACTTGCTCAGTTTAATTTTATTAGTCCCCGTTCGGACACAGTTCGAAAACGGGGACTTATGATTTGACCCTTGTGAGTCCGTGTTTCCGTGCGTGCATGCATCCTGACCAATCATAATCAAACTTCACACGGACATCATACATGTATTATACATATGCACATAAATTTGTTTCACGATCTGATTCAAGATGGCCGAATGCTGGCCATTTTTGTGCTAAAGAATCATCCAAATCAAGCATTTCTCGGTTGTTTACAGATGGATTTTGTTCAAACTTTGTATATACATTAGACATTATGGGATCTTGATGAAAATAACTTTGTTTTTCAGATAAGATTCAAAATGGCCAACTGGCGGCCATTTTGTTTCAATGAATGTGGTTCTCGTGCCATATCTCTGACTTGCTTTCACTGATTATGTTCAAATTTTAAATATTCATTATACATCATGTCATAGATATACAGATATATTGGTTTGACAATCCTATTCAAAATGGCTGAATGGTGGCCATTTTGTGCTTAAAAATCATCAAATATCAATCATTTCTGGCATTTATGGATGGATTTCGTTCAAACTTGGTACATACATTAAACATTACGGGTTCCTGATGTACGTCATTTTATTTTTCAGATCTGATTCAAAATGGCTGACTGCCGGCGATTTTGTTTTAATGCTTGGGCTTCTAGAGCCATATCTCTGACATGCTTTGACTGATTATCTTCAAATTTTATATATTCGTTATACATCATGTTATAAATATATACATGTATTCAAAATGGCTGATTTTGTTTTAATTAATGCTGTTCTAGAGCAATATCTCTTAATATGGACAAGTACTTGTTTGACGATCAGATACAAATGACTATCATCATAATCATATTCCTGACATGGTTATATTGCAGCTATATTACTATAAACAAAACTATATATCTTAAATTCAATAACTAACGGGGACTGTGCCATGCATGGCTTGTTATTTTTGACTCCCGTGTTCGAAGCACAAAAGGGAGTCTTTGCAGTTACCCTGTCTGTATGTCTGTATGCAGTGTTCTCCACAAATAAAATTTAAAGAGGGGTACTAATTTGCATATAATTAACATATTTAATTTGCATATAATTAGCATACTAATCAAACATTTCAAAGGAAATTCTTAGCACTTTTATATTTACATCAATTATATACTGTGTACAAGTAGTATATTAATGTTCTTGAATTATTTTGATGAATTAGTTAAACCACTTGATGTGTAAAAAAAATATAAACTTTGACAAATGAAGAATATCAATTTTATTCTTTGTAAAAGTGTAATGGAACAAGTTGTGAAATTCTAGCCTTTCATTTATTTCTTTTAATTTTCTTTTTAAATATTTCCATTTTCATAGGCTTTTATAAATGCACTGAGATATTGTAATAGTTGAAAACCCCAAGTAATAAGAAGAAAAATATTTTCACATAACAAAATTACTATTTAAAAGAATAAAAGAAAAAATCGAATCAAATGACTGTAAATAAATTAATCATCATGTTGATTGCATTGTGGGTACTGAGGACAAAGGTCAAATCAGATACCGTG